GGGCTGGGGGGCCGAGGAGGGCTCTGCACACTCTCCCTGCCTGGGAAAGTGACAGCAGTTTCCAGCTGTCACTGTTGCGCCGGATAGTAGAACAGAGAGAGGTGGGCTACTTTTGCAAGAATTTGGGGATAAGAGTTGACGAGGGGACCCGGAGGTTCTTCTCCAACTTCGTCCTTCCTTCAGGGACGTTGTCGTTCTTTCAGACACTAGCAAGGTGGCCGCGACTTTCCTGTCTCCCGCGGCCTCTGTGTCTGCAGCGCAGCACAGCCCGCTTCGCTGGCAGCGAATGAATTTTTCTGAGATGTAGCAGAAATAAGGCCAAGGCCAGGTCTTAGATGACTCTTGCAGTGGATGTGATTGGAGGGAGGCGGGGAATCAGTTTTCTTGATGGGTAACATATTTGGTAATGCAGACGGAGGCGGACATTTAAAATTGAATGGGATTGCCCTGCGCCTTGTGGCTAATTATAGGAAACTTCCTGAGTGATTTCACCTGCTCTTGTTAACGGTTATGTGCTTACTGCCAACCAGTTACGAACTTTTTAGTCTGACATCTGTTGCTGCAAGCCTTGAGTGGCAGCTTCCAGATTAAGAATTTGGACATCGTTAAGGAACTTTTAATATTCAGGGAACTTGAATGATTAATGACCCACGTTTAGGACAGTAGTTCTCAACCTACCTAATGGTGTGACATTTTAATACAGTTTCTCATGTTGTGGTGACCCTCAACCATTAGATTACTTCTTTGCTACTCCATAACTGTAATTTTGCTACTATTATAAATCGTAATGTAAATATATGATATATGACCGGGGGGGGGGAATCGCGACCCACAGGTTGAGAACCACTGGGTTAGGGCACTCAGATATTGCCTGTTACCTGAAAAGGGAGCCTGTTTTATGCTAATGATGTGGCAGAAACTGAGGCTGAAGTAGGAAGCGATGATGCAAATGCACACTGCACTTAGGCGCTGGCTAATTTCCTAGACCAATTATCTGGCTTGCTTCCAAGCCCTACACCCAAGTTCCATTTGCCTTTAATAAATAAGGTCAACATCTTTTCTTCTAGACTCTTCTCTTGCACACTCAGTTTTATTTAGTCAGCCAGTATAGTCTGGTTCTTTTTGAACAGTGCTTTTTTTTTTATGATTGGGACTTTTTTTTTTACAAATATCTATTGATAAATTAATGAGGAATGAATGAATTATTCTGAAGCAAAAACCGGCTAGACAGTAAGGTGTCCCCTGATAATCACATGTGGGAGTGAAAAGGGAATTCTAGAATGGTAAAGAATTTATTCACTTGGAAACAGTGCCTGACTTTTCTGTGGACTGCTGGCAGTATTTCGATAAGTAGTCTCACATCTGGATGGTTTTGTTGTGGCAGTAGGGACTCCATTTACCCACTCAGCCCATGGGAAACCCCTGTGGAGCAGTGTTGAGCATCACACAGATCATCTGGTCTCCCAAAGGCTGCGCTTGGTAAGGTGTGTGGTTGGAAACAGTTCCAGTTTATTTCAAAAACAGTTCCAGTCCATTTCAAGGTGCTGGTGGGAAGAGTTTTTGTTTCATCCCACAGGCTTGGGCAGGAATCCAATCCCAAGTTACTACTGTGTTACTATCAGTTTTAGCTGTTGTAGCAAGTGAAAAGAGAGGGAAAGAAAGACAACCACACACTGAGCCTTTGCCCCACCCCCATGCCCCCACCCCACCCACAGAGGCCTCTGAGCCCTGAAGTCACAGAACATGTTCAAGGACAGAGAAAGGCTGTCTCCTAAAAGGATCTAGTGGGCACCCTTTTAAAATAAGATACCACAACCCTTCAGGTCGGACACTGGCAGCCTCTGTAATGTGTAACCAACTTGCAGTGGGCATGTTTCTCCTTTGCTTTTGCAGAGTGGCTGAAGTTGGGAATAGTATGAAGGAAATGTAGCAGGAGAAAGGGGACATTTACCAAAGCTTGGTGGGAGGACCTTGGGTCTGACATCTTCCATCTAAGATTTAGAAACACCTCATTCTGCTGCTCTCTGTTTAGCACTACACATGAGAGAAGCAGCTTGCTCTCTCAAGAGGCACATGCCAATATTACCAACCCAAGTGCCAGCTGCCAGGGGTGGGACAGGGATACATGTTCTGTAGTCTTGTATCACCTGAGTGTTACTCTTTAGGACAGTGGCACATACTTACATCTGAAAGTTTGTTGCCAAAGTGGAATCTGGCAAAGCCATCCCAGTTTGTAGCCGTGTAAGAGGTGACTCTCACCAGCATAAACTGTTTTCAGGTATGAGAGTGCCTATATTGGTGCATCAGCACTTATTGAGCGCCTGCTGTGTGCAAGACAGCATCACAATATAAATTCCAAATGACTCATGACTCACTAAAACAAACTAAAACATGACTCACATGAAACTGATAATCGTCTGAATAAACAGTTTTTGTTATTTCCTCCATAAAATGGCCTGAATTAATTGATGGTGACTTCCTGTCAGCTTACTTTTATCTTTAGGGATTTAAGGCCTAAATTTCAGTTCAAATGTCTCCACAGAACATTTGTGCACCAGCTGTCCCTACCCTACCTAGAGCCATTTACACAGGCATTGGGTTCTGTGGGGTTTTGGAATGGTTCCTCGGGGCGACTGTGGTACTCACGTTCTTAAATAAAAACACATTCTTCACATTTGAGCTGCTGTTGGCACCTTTACTAATATGCTTCAGTGTTTATTAGAAAATCAGGATAATACCCACTCCCTTTTATATGGTTCTGCTTTGTGAGAATTCTGTCTCTCTCTGATCCTTTGTGGATCAGATGTCAAGTTTTTCAATGTCGCCCTGCAGTAGTAGCTATTGTGAATACCATCTCCACAGTCCCTGCTGTCCTGTCTCTACACACTGCAACTTCATAATTCCTCCTGGTACCTGTAAAGCCATTCTTCTCCCAGCTGCAGCCATCTTTCCTATACTGTAGAGACTTGTCTCTTCCACTTAGCTGTATCCACTTAGCTTTATTCTTCTTCAGCCTATAGTAATAAGGTTGTAGGCTGTGACCTACCTCGCTCATCCATCTTTCTCAAGTACCTGACCAAAAGAGTAGGATTATAATTTCACAGACTAACACTGACTTTAGGTTTCTCCCCATCAGGTCAGGCACCTGTACATCTGCGACTTCCACAAAAATTTCATCCAGAGTGTCAGAAATAAAAGGAAGAGGAAGACGAGTGATGATGGTGGAGATTCCCCTGAGCATGATGCTGACATTCCTGAGGTAAAGGCCAGAATGCTCAATGGTAGAGAGAGCCGGGAGAATAGGTTGTGACCCAAGCCTCCCTCCCAGCCAGAGAATGAGAATAGTGGGATTTGCCTCCAGTTTTCACCCTGGCTGTTTTCTGAACTAACCAGTCATCTTTGCTTATGTTGCTGTGGTTTATTTGAAACGCGTTTTCTAGACTTTCAGTAATGTTGACTCTGAAAGATTTGTGATGAGCTGATCTGCCTGCCCAGTCACTCTCCAGACAGGCCCAGGCTCTGAGGTCCCAGGTGGGGCTAGAGGCTCTGCTCTTGTTCCTTGTAGTAGACTGTAGGACTTTACCTCTTGAACCCAACCAGTGCTTAACCATGGTGTTGCCTCTTTTAAAACCCTGTTCTTGGGCTGGAGAGATGGCTCAGAGGTTAAGAGCACCGATTTCTCTTCCAGGGGTCCTGAGTTCAATTCCCAGTAACCACATGGTGGCTCACAACCATCCGTTATGAGATCTGGTGCCCTCTTCTGGTGTGCAGATATACAAAAAAAAAAAAAAAATTTTAAAAAAAAAAAAAAAAAAAAAAAAAAAAACCCTGTTCTTGTCTTTAATATTAATGCTGAGTCTGTGTGATCTGAGCAGCTCTCTCCCCTTCTTTTCTGACCTGAAAGTAAAGGTGCATTTTGTCAGTGTCACCAACTGGACTGGGGCTTGTCCCCAGAGAGAGACACACTGCAGTCATTTAGCAGGTGCTGAAATTTGACATTTGAGAGGAGGGGGTGCATCTTGAGTATTATAGAATCGTCAGCAGCACCCCTGACCTCTAGAGGCCAGTGACATCATTGCATGAGTTGTAACAGTGAAAAAATGTCTGCAGACATTGCCACATATCCTTTGAGATATGTCCTCTAAAAGACCATGAGCCCCAGCTTCTCACCCAGAAGGATCCCATGTGTATTAAGGAAGGAAATTAAGGAAGGAGTAGCTGGGTTTCCTTCCAAAGTGTTCTCACTTGGGCTTCTGCAAAAGAGGAACTGTATCCAATGTACATTGATTCTTGACTCATAAGGTGACCACCTGTGAGCAACCTTCATGGCGGGGAGTAGAAGTAGGCAGACCTTAGTCTGCAGGTGTGGAGGGCTGTGTGAAACTTGGCCCTGTCCCTGCACCTCTCCCCATGTGGCTTTCCCAGCCTTGCTTTCCAGTATCTTTCTATTGCCTGTAGCATTGTGGTTATTTCATAAAGACATATTCAGCTTCTGAGTCCCTTTGACTGAACATTTTAGGAAAGGTTTCTAAGAATGTTTTCAAATGAATGGAAGATTCTGGACCCTCATACTGATCACTCTTCTTTTTTAAGCCAGTCCCATTTGCCTGAAGCAAGAGCCCCTCTCTTGGAGGAAGGTAAAGGCAACCCTTTCTGGGCCTTCTGTGTTTCACGACTAAATAGCTTACCCCTTCCTAGGCTAGCTGAACAAAGAGAGGGGTCCTCCTTGGCCCTTACTCAGCCATCTGCAGAGACCCTGGCCCCCGACCTACTATAGTGGATCACTATAGTAACTCTCTAGGAAGGTGACACCTGAGGCTGAGCATCTGTATTCTTCTGCTGCCACCCTGGGAGCTCTGCCAGTCCATTCTCTAACTTATTTCCTTCAGTGTCCCTGAGCTGCCCTTTTGAACACCCTGGTGTCCTCTAGCTCTGCCTGCAGTAGGGCTAAGCTCTGTCTACTCACTAGAAGGCTAGTACTCCTATAGCGGCTCCCTGTTCCCCTCTAACCTCCAGCCCTACACATCTCCCCCAACACAAGTGCCTTCTGCCTTCCAGGACATGCCATCCCTACTTTTTGGCCAAGCCATGCCTCCATTCCAGGGTTCCATGCTCAGAATCATTCCCTCCTTGCCTCTTTCTCACTATCTCTCTACTGCCTTCTTCTGCCTCAGCCTCCCCTCCCCTACCCACACAGAGCCCTTTCCAGAGCTGTCTTTAGCCCCCTTGCCAGGTACTAGTCCTTAGTAAACAGTGTCTCTGACTTCTTCCCTCCCCAGTACTCCCTAGGGTGTGCCCGGCCAGGTGGGCTCAGACATAACTGTCTTCTCCTCTTCTCTAGGTTGATCTGTTCCAGCTGCAGGTGAACACTCTCCGACGCTACAAACGGCACTACAAGCTGCAGACCAGACCAGGCTTCAACAAGGCCCAGCTAGCAGAAGTAGGTAGATAAATCAGAGAGGCCCAGCCTGTGCTCCTGTGGTCCTAGCTATCCCTCCCACAGATCAACCACTCATTGCATCTCCTGCATGCTCTAGAAGCCAATCTGTCCCTTTTTGCATGACATAGAATTCAGGAGCTTTCCATGCAGAATAGAAAGTCCTGTCTCCTAAAGGAAGCCATTCACAGACAGGGATGACCTTGCTTAAAGTCACACAGTAACATGAGGATCCTTGATTCTCATTGTTTTTTGCATAGTTCTTGATAAACCCAGTCCTTTCAGTGTGTCAGTGTGATTAGCCACTGTGCCTTTAGGTTTAGGGTTTTGTTTTTTGTTTTGTTTTGTTTTTTTTCTCCCCTCTGGGTAGTAGGGATCAAACCTAGGACCTTGTGTATGACTAAGCAAGTCATCTACCAGTGAGCTTACCCCTCAACCTCAAGGACCTACCCATGCCCCCTTCTTGACCTGTGGTGTTAATGGAAGTCTTTTTCTATATAATTCCTGGCACCCAAGAACATTCTTTTTTTCTTCATTAAGTTCTTAACTTCTTTTGGTGGGAAGTGGGAGGGCTCCACCCTCAGCATTGTTCTCTCTGTCTCTGTCTCTGTCTCTCTCTCTCCCTCCCTCCCTCCTTCCCTCCCTCCCTCCCTCCCC